ACTGTGTGATTGCGACAATGTGGTCTGCTCAATAACTGGGGGCGTGATGGATGCCCATCAGTCAGTCGGCTGAACTACGTGCCAGCACAGCACTAAGTGCTGGGGATACAAAGAAAGGCAAAAAATGCCATCCCTGCTATTCTTCCCATTTCACAGAAGGTCTGAGCCACAGATCACATGGAAAGGAACCCGGGTCCTTAGGGGGCAAGGACAAAGCAAATGGTAAACACATCATCTTTCATGCCACTTCCACTAATAAAAACATCAGTTTCTGAGGTTCTACCATTTGAGGCAGTTTCCTTAGCTGTGAAATGGGAACAATACCAGAACTATTTATCTCATGGGGTTATTGTAAAGAAAGTTCTCCCAGCCTAGAAGTTATCATTAGTATACTTTGCTCTCTCTCCTTCAAAGATCCATCATAGCTACTAAAGGCCATGATCGCTTTCATCACAGGGTAGGTGGAAAGTGAGCAGCATGAGACAGGAGGAGCTTTGCATTCCAGGGGAGAGCCCTGCCAACCTCATTTGTAATCCCTGGGATCCACTAAGAAAATGCTGACATGGGCAGAACCCGCCCTGGACGGATTCAGGGCTTGTGACTAAGGAGAACCCAGGGCAAGTCAATGTTGTGACCTCCCCACCGACATCTACATATAGGTGAAATCACGTGTAAGTAAAGAGCAAAGGCAGCCCTGACCACAGGAGGGGGACCTCATCAGAGGGTCACAGATTTAGGGCTGTATGGATTGAGTCCAATAGGGCAGCTGGGTGGTGCAGTGTATAGAGCACTGGGCCTGGAGTCAGGAAGACCCAAGGTCAAATCTGGCCTCAGATACTTACTAGCTGAGTGACCCTGAGCAAGTCACTTAAGCCCGTCTGCCTCAGTTTCCTCATCTGTCAAATGAGCTGGAGAAGGAAATGGCATACCCCTCTAGGATCTTTGCCAAGAAAACCCCAAACGGGGTCATGAAGAGTTGGACACGAGTAAATAACGACAAATGGCTTAGTCCATTAGAGGAAGAAACCGAGGTCCAGAGAAGTGATAAGACTCAGGATCATAGCTGGAGAGGCCATCCAGCCCACAGGTGTCAAACACAGAACCAGATTAAAATGTCATTGGGAAATATTTAACAAAAATTAGTAAAAATGCATGATGTTAATGTCATTACATTTTAAAACTAAGTTATTCTGCAGCTGCAGGGATTCTTATTATGGATTAATAGCTCTATTTCTTAAGTTTGGTACCATGGAGTCCACCCTCTTCATTTTACAGAATGAGAAACTGAGGCCCAGAAAGATCCTAACATCACAGATTTCGAGTTGGAAGGAACCTGGAAGTCGCCTAGTCCAAAATTTTCATTTTACAGAGTGAGAAACAAGGTTCAGAAAGCCGGGTTGCCTTGCTCAGGGGTCACACACCTACTAAGTGGCAGATTCAGGCTCAACCAGAGAAATTGAAGGGAACCCAGGAACAAAGGAGGCAGGGTCACTTCTCAGCTAGTGACATGCAACAGTGAAGCCTGAGCCATTACTGTGTATACAGAGGCTGCAGCAGCCTCCTTCTAGAATTACAGGACCACAGAGGCCATCCCATGCCCTCCCACACCAGCCCAGGGAACAGGTCGAGTGGGCCTCTTGCTGGCCAGAGCCTTAAGCATTTTTCCCAATTAGCCACAACAATTGACATTTAGATCACACTTTAAGGCCCGCAAAACACTTTACTCACATTATCTTGTTTGGGCCTCAAAACAACCCTCGGAGGTGGGCATTCTGAGCGGTCAGCATCCCCATAAGGGGATACTAAATAATAAGATAAGGAAATGGAGTCTCAGAGAAGTTAAGTGATTTGGCAGGGGTCACACAGCTAGGAAAGTATCAGGAGTGCAATTTGAACCCAGGTCTTTCTTATTCCAGATCACACTGCTTTCTCAAGTCCTATCAAGCTTCTTGGACTCCAGAACTATGATCCTATATCTCTCATTACTTTAGTCAGCATCAGCTTTCTCCTCTTTAAAATGAGGAGACTAACCTCTTAAAATCCCTTCTCTGGAGTCAGGAAGACCTGAGTTCAAATTTGTGTTCAGACGCTTACTAGCTGAATGACCTCAGGTAAGTCACTCAACCTCTGTTAAAACTGAGGAAGCTCAGTGTTCCTCAACTATAAAATGGGGGATAATAATAGCACCTACCTCACAAGGTTGTAAAGATCAAATGAGATGATATTTGTAAAGTGTTTAGTGCCTGGTATGCAGCAGGTGCTACATAAATGTTTATTCTATTCCCCTTTCCTCTTGTAGTTTTAGATCTAGGATACTAAGTCTCATCAGCCCCTGGATCTCAGTTTTCTGTTCTGTAAAGTGAGAAGGTTAGACTAAGTCATCTGCAAGGTCTTATCCAGTCTATATCTGGCGCCACATGGAGATGACGACCACAGTTTGCACCAACGGAACGTAAACTCTTGTAGGTTCTGTCACGCTGACAAAGTTGCTAGTATGTGCCCAGTGACTGCACAGTGACCGCCAATGTCTGTCCTCCAAGGGCTAAGGAGAAGCTCCTGACCAGGGACTGCAGGGGGTAAGTTTTTCTGCCTCTGGCCAGTCTCCCCAAGCTGGAGAAGAACTGTTATCTGTGTTGAGTGAGGGGAGTGGTCACACATTCGTGCAATGCCAGACCCTAACAGCATTGCCTTCCGTGCCCTCCCTTTTCAGCCTCCCACCCCAAGGGCCACCAGCTACACTCTTCAAAGCACTTTATTGCTTCTTTCATCACTCTCTTTCCTGTTCACAAGCTGTATCTCTCCGATAGAGTGTAAATTCCCTGAGGGCTAGGGCCATTTCACGTCTGCCTTTATATCCCCAGCGCTAAACACAGTCATCGCTTGGCAAGTAATGTTTGTTGAACACTGAGTAGGTTTGTTGAATTGAACAACCCCAGGAGGCTGTCGTGGCAGTTAGTTCGCTTACCAGTTTAGACATGAAAAGTGCCTTGTTAAAAGTCACATTGAGCACCGGGAAAGAGACAAAGATCTGGAAGACCCTATCCTCACAGTACTTATTAGAGGCTTGTTGACTGACTAGAGGACCTTCTATTCCAGCAGAGGAGATAAGCAGCGTGAGTGTATAAGAGAATTGGGAGAGAAAGTTTTATTTTTAATGTTAATAACCCCCATCATCCACAAAGTAGAATAGAGGCTAAGGGCGTCTAACCAGACATTCACTTATCCCATACTTACTTAGGCCTCACTCCATACAAGAAAATTGCCAAGAGGAAGCTCTACATTTCCTTATCTTTCCAACTTACCTTATAATGAAACAAGAAGCCTCCTCCAGAAGGTCATTCCTGATTAACCTTCCCCAGCTCTGACCACTTTCATATCCTATACAGTACATACACCGTGGGCCATTCACACTTGTTGACATTACTATGTATGATTTAAGTCACTGTGGTTTTGCTCCTGTTTATTTTTCTGCCCCTCCCTGAAAGCACTGACGAGTTCTTCCATTTATATGGCATCTGCGATCCCTCACAGTCCTCCACACTAAGTAGACACCTAAAAGTATAGTCTGGTAGTCAAAACTTCTTAACACCTGCCTAAAAAACAAACAAACAAACAAAAACCAACCTGAATTCCCAGACCCTCAATCCTCAACACCATAAGGCCGGTTAAGTAAGCAAAGCAAAACTCAAGTCGAAAACGTGGGTGGAGATCTGGAAGGACTGTTGGAAATCATGTAGAACAATCCTCGAATCTTTTCAGATGAGGAAACTGAGGCCCAGAGACTAGGTGATTTACCCAAGGTCTCAAAGCAGCAGTGCTGGGACGGAAGCCAAAGCCCATTCACTCCAAACATGTTGCTATTTCCATGAACCCACATGGCCAAGCAAACGGGACTTTCTCTCATCCTCGGTGACACTTCCACGATTCTGAACCATGGCATACTAATCACAAGGTAACAAACCAAGCCCTTTTATTAGCCCCAAATCATGCATCCTCCCTAGAGATCCGGGAGTCTTTCCTGCCCGGGTGAATTCTTGTCCAAGGTTGGTTCTTGTCAGTGTCCTGGGCAAAGGACGAACCCAACAGCCAGATTCACGAACGGAGCCATAGCTTCTAGACTCCGGGGTAGGAAGTGCTCAAGGATCTGCGAGCCTCTGTGTCTTTCCCTCCCCCACCCCAGGGGCTGCTGGGGACCACTGAGCATGCAGTATGTCTGATAGGTAACATATATGTACTTAGTGAGTTAAGATCTACAAAGCGTTTTACATATGTTACCTCAGCTGGTTCAATCCCACCTCCACAAAGGGGAAAGGGGGGCCCAGAGAGGGGAGGAGACTTGGGCAGGGTCACACAGGTGCTAAGCCAGGTTCTCTGAACCCCAATCTCCAGGGCTCTTCCCTGATCTTAGCCCACTGTGCACGGGCGCCAAAGCTGGAGAGGCGAGCTCGAGTTCAGTTCTCCCCTTCACACCTCCCTAAGTCAGTCCTCTTTCAGGGAGGGGCTGGATCGAGAGAATTTAAGTGGGGTCCCGGAAAGCCC